TTGTGCAGCACTACTTTAATTTGAATATTATGATACAGGAAAGACCTTTTATTGAAAAAATTAAGGGCTATCGCAACGCTGTGTGTGCGTTGGCGACATCATGAGATGTGTAAGTTAGCTACGACGTGCGTAGCTAGAGGCGATGCGAGTGCGAAGGGGGTAGATAGACCGCTGAAGGAATGATAATGATTAGTGTTAGCTTCAAATGACGGATGACGGATGCGAGAGATATCGTGAATCGGTAAACGAGAGTGACCGCGTTATAGCGATGATAAGAGAAGGTAATGGTTCTTCGGGGCGTTCTTCTGGGGGATCTACTGTTCTATTCTGCTGCTTATTAGGAATGTACATGGGCTACTTATACTGTAGGATGAGGAAGGGTCATCCTAGAATAGTTAAAGGCAAGGGCTCGGTGTACGGTCGGTGAAAGCGGTAGCTGAAGGGAGTGGCGTTTGTATTTGATAGTGTAGCGAGAGAATGATATAAGAGTTGTTGACAAGGTGAAGACGGCGGTATTACGAATGGAGGAACAGTAACGACAGGAAGGGTTTAGCGAGCGATAGGAATTGAAAGGATAGGTACTAATAAAAGGGGTCGGGTATCGTGCTTGACAAACGGTCCAGGCGTTGACGTGGTGGTTGCGGTGAGAGGAGTATCGGCATGTTCCGGCGATAAACGTTTGGTAATTCTTACAGATGGTCAAGTGATAGCAAGCGGTGATCAAAGCGATGATGATGTTAACAATGATATTCTTTCCATCTAATAATCAGCCAGAGCAGCTTAAATTCAAGATATAGCCAGGCCAAAGGATTTGGACTTGCTAGTATTCCATACACAGAAGATCAATCAATTCAACACGGTATAAGTATCACATGAGAGACGAACGATGTTGTACAATTGAGTCAGACGTATTCTCATCATGCACGCCGAGATTCTCCCAGATCACAGGGATCAAGGCTCGATCGCACCTTGCAAGATCGCAATCTCTTGGTAGCCCGAGATAATGTGGGCGCGCCGTATCGGAGTGAACGTGACGTTGCTGCCGTCTCTGTGTTTAATACCGTGAGTGTCGTGGAAGAGAAATGAAGGGAAGACGACATACCCAACGCATTAACCACGGGAGAGCAACTAAATACCAGCAGAACTGTCTCCGACGATCTGTAGGTAGATTAACCACCTTGTCGATTAACGTCTGTTCATTCCACCGCATTCCGTGTAGCTTAAAGCTAGATGCGCGGTGATTTTCAGTCAAGGATAAGCAAAGGCGCTGATAGAAGCATGAATCATTCGCGGTATGTGGTGCCCCTGACTTGTATTAGAAAACTAATTGCGTGTTCAATGCAATCTGGAGGAGGCACGTTATTAATCGTCCATCAAATACGCGTCAAGGACAAGTATACCCCAGAAGTCTTCGGAGCTTGTAGTCCACGACTTGCAGGTGCATAAGGCTGCTGTCCTTCCTCCGGATCATCATATAGGCTCTAAATTCCCTTAATAACCGATTGCGCTTGCGAGAGCCGACCGCGCGTGTGGTCTCTATCAAAGTAGGATATTCCAGGGTGATTTGAATTGAAGCCTTGAAGGATGAAGTCTCGCAGAAATCTTATCTTCGGCGACAGCGCATTGAAGGACTAAAGCAATGCTGGGCTCTCCCCCACCAGCAAATAAAGCTGTCATGCAATGTTGAGCAATATCTCCAACGCAATTAAGAGGAGCGATGAAATATCACAATACCAACGAAGCGCATATACAACAGAAAACGCTTCGGCAGCAGCGTGTCTATTCCAAGTGTCTGTGAATCGCGTGCCGGAAAATATGGAAACGCATACGAACACCGACATAGGATGACAGTCAAATTATCAAAGGACAGGGAGTTGCCGATTCAAAATCTCGAATCCATGGAATTGTAGTAAACCCACGACTGACTCTTCTGCTCATTTTATGATCGACGATAGCAGTGCTTGAAACAGCTGATTATCTTCATTGCAAATTGCAAACCCACCAGGCTGTACGTGCCTAAAGTGCCGATTCTAAAGTAGATCAAGGGAAGCCCCACAACCGTCAGATCTTCGCTGAGAACATTCCAGGGAATAGAAGCTCGAGATGTCACCAGATGGAATACCACGTGTATGGGCGTCAACTGAGTTGAAATGCGAGGGAGCAGCGCATGGCAAATCGGGTGAACCATCCTAGTAATCTTCCTATCTGCCGCACGGAAACCTGCAATGACAATGGTCGGAATAACTTCACTCGCTTCCTGTAACGCATTCAAGAGTTATTCTTGTCACAACCATAGCAGTTTGGCATAAACCAGGAGCATGCTACCTTGGGGTTTGTTTAGGATTGAAAGGTTGCTGTTGCACCGACCGAATTTGGGCTGTGAGGCCATCAAAGATTGTGCCTGCCCGCGCCGAGATCTTGGTATTGAGTTGGTGTCTGGATGGTCGAAGGGTTGGGTTCATTCAGCTATATTCGATGGTGATTTAAAACCTGCAGTCATGCGATCAGGCTCGTCGACTCATCTGGAACGCTGCGGCGACACGACCCGGATGCATGAACTCGGCCGCCCAGATCGTCAAGCAAGATATTTATGATAACGGCCTCACTTCTAGTGCGAAGTTAATGCTACATATGAAGCAGATCCAGTACACGCACCTCTGCAACTTAGACTAATCACCCCCCACCAAGTCCACTGTGCTCAAAACCGCGAACCTCCTGAAGATGGCGCAGCTCATTCCAAGCACCATACCAATTCGAGTGTTTGAAGAACATGAAGCACGCGTATCCGCAGTCGCAGTGTTCTCTGATAGACAACGTATGGTCACATCCTCGGACGACAAGATGCTTCGGTTATGGGACTTGACGACGGGTGTAGTGTTGAAGAAAATGGAGGGGCATTGCAATCGGGTGCAGGCATTGGCAGTATCGCGGAATGGGGGGTTGATAGCAAGCGGTGACACCGAAGGAAAACTCATTGCATGGGATGGGAACACTGGCGAACGTCTCAGCTTGTACGGTGAAACTTGCCCAGTTATCAGTGCCCACACCGGTTGGATACTATCGCTGGACTTTTCTCCAGACGGCAAAGTGCTGGCCAGCGGGTCATCAGACTCGACGATGAAGCTGTGGAACACATCGGGGTGGAAGCTAGAAGGAAATGCAATTAGCTGTGGTACAAGCGTACGCTGCGTGCGGTATTCGCCGTTATAGCCTACACTTGCAATTGCAACAGAGCACAATATCCAAATTTACCACGGCTACGACGGCAACCACGACTACATATACAGCCACTACGGCAGATGCAATTCACATTCATACAACTACTCAAGCTGTTATCACTTCCAGGGTCATACGCCAACAATCAGGGAAGGACACAGCTATTCACTCGCGTGGACGCCCCATGGACGCCTACTCATAGGTGGAGATGATCAAGATCCCACCATACGAGAGTGGGTCCAAGATTCATCATCGGTGATTCCTTGAAGGGCCATTTCAACACTATCAGCTCCATTTCCCTGAATTCTAACGGCACTCTCCTCGCCTCCGCATCTCATGACAACCGTGTCCGCTTGTGGCGCCTCTCAGATCGACGAACCATCGCCGTATTCAAGCACTCTGGGGAGGTGAACTGTGTCACCTTTTCCGCAGATGACAAGCACATCCTCAGTGGAGGTGTAGATAAGAAGATCTCGGAGTGGCCAACATCCGAGGACGCTTTGCCAGAAGATTGTCCACAGGATGGTCTCATGAAGGTGCAGGTGACACACCAGGTAAGTTCATTTTCATTTTCGCACCCCTTCGTCATCTCAGCGTATTTTTTGTGTCAAGGCTCAAGCCTACTCTAATTCCAAGGCATGTTATCACCTTTGACTTTGATAATGCAATTCGAACGTGCTTCACGCAGGTCTTGGTTACACACTCGGCAGCCCGCAATGCGTGCATAGCTGGAGACTTGCCTGCCGCTGAAAAGGTCTTAAGTCTAGAGATCAACACTGCCTCCGGTGATCACACCTTCTATGCCAATCGTGCGTTTGTTATGGCACGAAAAGGCGACTGGAACCACGCGCTTCGCGATGCAATGAAGGTGAGATAGATTGACCTATCATGTGCCCCTTACACAAGCTAACTTTGATGGTGACATAGTCTCTCAGTATTCAGCCCTCGTTTTTAGGCCACATTTCCAAGGGCATTGCCCTCTGTGGAAAAAAGCAAGTCAGGGCCGCGAGGACATCGTTTGACCTTGCCTCTATGTTCACGACCGGAAATTTAGAGACCAACCATTTCCTTTTTTTCATCAAGGCAGGTAATACCTTTGTGACATACTCCATAACTCATTTCCATTTTCAGACCATCGCGCTGTTCAATGCAAATGAACATGACGAGGCAATACAGCGCATCGAAGAGTTAGCTGTGTCTCCAAATGCCGATCCTCTTGCTTGTCGTGTCATAGAAGTTAGCATCAAACTCGATCACGCCCATGTTCGTATGCTGGCACTGATTTTTTTTGGCACATCAGGCGTATCTACGCGTCCAAAGGGGAAACATTGCCTTGGATTGCGCGCGCGACAGCGAAGCTCTTGACCACTTCACTGCTGCTGTCAACGCTAGCGCTTTCTTTTATACATTAGATATCCATTCTATGTACGAGGAATTTGTTGTGGTACGTCGACATGATGTAACTGAATATTTATTTCATACCGAAGTGTGTTTTTTGCAGCTGTTCGGCTGGGACCTCAAGTCCTTGTGGCACACCGCACACCAGCAACACTGTCATGCACTCTTTCAGGCAGGCAGAATTGGAGCAGCTATCGAATCGTTCCAATCCATCATGGACAAGAGTGATGATATTACAAAGACCAGCTTGACTGTTTGGTTCAATGGTACGCTGTTATGGTGTAACACCTGCACATTTATTATTTGCGCGTTCCGCACCTTGCGCGGTGCGCGTTTTCGTCAAAAATTGCGCGTTGTCTTTTTATCAGCTGATTGTTTCTACAGCTAGCAGGCCAAGCCACTATATCACGCTTAGCGATGATATCTACAAGCACAACACAGACGAGTAAGTCCGTTTCCCACTCCCAATTTTCTTAATCAAATCTGCGCGTTGTCTTTGTATCAGCTGATTTTTTCTACAGCTAGCAGGCCAAGCCACTATATCACGCTTAGGAATGATATCTACCAGCACAATACAGACGAGTAAGTCCGTTTCCCGCCATCTCGCCCAAAGATGCTGATGTGAGTGGGCTCCCCAAACTTCCTCGTCTCCATTTGTTGCTGCCTGTAGTTCTCGTAGTGCAACTCCTTCGTCATCGAGATGAGGTCGAGCATGTGCATAGAGATAGGTAGAGAGTGTTCCTCGTCTCCATCTGTTGCTGCCTGTAGTTCTCGTAGTGCAACTCCTTCGTTGTCGAGATGAGGTCGAGCATGTGCATAGAGATAAGTAGCGAGCATTCCTCATCTCCATCTGTTGCTGCCTGTAGTTCTTGTAGTGCAACTCCTTCGTCATCGAGATGAGGTCAATCGCAAACCCGGGGGTGTCTATGACAGTAAGTTTGACCTTGAACTGCTTTTCCTCAAGCTCAGCCTTGATGATTTCGACTTCGGTGAATCGCAGTTGTCGACATAGTCACCAAACGCGGGGGTGTCTATGACAGTAAGTTTGACCTTGAACTGCTTTTCCTCAAGCTCAGCCCTTGATGATTTCGACTTTGTTGAATCGCAGTTGTTGACATAGTCACCAAACGCGGGGGTGTCTATGACAGTAAGTTTGACCTTGAACTGCTTTTCCTCAAGCTCAGCCTTGATGATTTCGACTTTGGTGAACCAGCGCTCGGTGAGCCTAAGTGACAACACATCTGCATCCAATGAGTGTCCGCAAAGTAGTAACGAGTGAATCATGTATCTGACTGCAAGATATCATTAGTAGGTGAGGCATTACGAGGGTGCAAGTTGAATGTAGCGATACGGAATGAAATGACGAGGATACTAGTATGTACTACGATGCACAAAGAACAAAAACTACGAAATTAACGCGCCTGTCATTTAAAAAACAGACCTGGTCACTGCGAGATAGCCTATGCCGACTCTCAAATTACTCGGAGGTTGGCAAGATTGAGCATAGAGTAATGGGAGTCCCACGGATTGATGTATTCCGCGAAAGGGTCATCGTCCTGTATCTTGTCGCGCCACAGGACATCCGCTTCACTGACCGACACAAAGTCTGGTGGAGCGGATATCTTGTTCTCTACTTTGAGGGTAGCTGGCACTCGACTAGTCATAGTACGAAACGATACCGTTTCTGAAATAACAGCAGCGCAGATGTTCATCAACAAGTAGTATAAATGTCGAATGAGTGGAATGATAAACTCACTATAGCTATTGGATTGAGCGCTGGGCTGGGTCGACGGATGAAGTTTGAGTTCAGGGCTCGCAGATTCAGAGTTCATTGAAAATAAGGGAACGGCAGTGTCACTTGCAGGTTCTAGAACAACAAATAAAATAAGCTTGGTTGTCACAATATTTGAGAGACGAACCCTTTTTGAGTTTCTTCTGGACTGCTTTCCTAGTGGCTTCTGATGGTGACGGGGAAAGCAGAGTGTGACTGCGCTTTGCTATAGAAATAGATGAGTACATAATACTATAATTTGAATCACAAATAGTACTCACCGTTCCGGCTTCTCATTGGTGACCTAGTAGGTGCCGCTTTTGCCTTGCCCTTGCCTTTTGGGTCCTTAACGTCCAAATCCGAGGACATATCAAGTTCCATCAATGAACTTGCAAGATCATTGTCCGACTTGATGCTAACTGAATCATCGGTGTCGGACAAAAGGATATCGTTACAATCGTCGCGTTCAGAATCCGATCCAGCTATCACGGGTTGAGTGTTCCAAGACTCGTAAACGCTGTCAGGAATCCGGTTCCTTGTGACTAGCGCCAGTAGTATTTCATGAGTACAACTTGAACGAAGCAAAAAATGAACGAGAACGCACCAAACCAAAGATGACAATCACTAACACTTGCTTTGTCCCGGCCCTTGTGTTTCGCAAGATCACTCCCAGCTGGAAACCCGATATCGACGACTGTTAGCGTTTGTCCGCACTTGTTGAGGAGCCGCCAAATTGGCTTCTCTTCACGTAACGTAGCTGATTGTCGCTTCTCGACTTGACCGTCGAGGTAATCAAAGACTTTAGGAAACCAACTTCGTAACTGACTGGTGACCTTGCGATAAGTCCATCCACCTTCGATGACGAACTGCTGTTCAAGGTAACAGCCACGGTTTTTCATCGCCTGGATCTCATTTTGGCCGTTCTTGCTCGGGACTTTGGATACTCTGATAAGACCGTTCCTCTGTCAAAAACTGAGTTAGCGAGTTAATCCGTCTCTCGAGGGCTCTTGACTGACATCAACACCGCAAGTCAACATGGCCACTGATGCAACACGAAATGTGTTCCCCGACATTGAGACACTAGAAGAGGTGTTCCTGCGCGCTTGGCTTCCAACCATTTGTGAGCTGGTGATTTCCTTACGATCCTGAACGCAATTTTCATGTGAATATATATTTTTGTGCACTACTAGGATAACACTTACCTTTCGCGAGCCTGCCGACGGTACTGGGCCCTTGGCCAGCTTATGATAACCGGCAAGCCGAGTTGATGTCAGAGTTGATAACGCTTCCTCTCGAGCACTGGTGAGCGGCACTAGGCTTCCTTGCTTGCCTGTAGTGGCAAGCTTCAGGTTGTCATTGACGGTTTTTCCACCAGTGATTCGAGTGAAAATATCCTTGATAGCGACTGCAGAACTTGGATGAGGTTTTTCATCAGCATCCTCTTGAACTTCCAGTACTGGTTCACGACTCGTTGAAGCTTTGCGGGGGTGCTTACTGCGACCATGGCCACACTCTGCGCAATGGCCTTCATCCTGTGTGCGAGGGAAAAACTCCTCACAGTCACACATTTGACTGTCCGACTTGAGGCCTCTGCAGAAGAGTTCTTGATTCAAGTTGTTGCCTTTGGGATCCATGGCTCGGGAGTCGGAGGGCACTGGTGAAAGGGAATGCGGAGATGACTTGAAGCAGTAGACTCGACGTGCAAATGACCTGAAGCAAGGTAATTACGTAGATGGCCCAGCAGTTTATATACAGCTAACAAGGATATGACATTTTACATTGACGTGTAGTACTTGTTAGTCGCTACTGGCAGTTAGAAAATATGACAAAACTAATAACGCCTGACACCATAATTTCGCTCGATTAAACCAGATCGGTTCAGCAAGTGAAACGTGGAGTTCTTTTGATCCTCGTTGACCAAAGGTAATAGTCTCAAATGTTGGGTATTCATCTCCATCCCACTCATCTAGCATTAGTCTGCAATTGTTTGGCGTGATATCATTGGCTATAACTTCATCAAGGGTGGCGGAAAACTGCTGTCGTGTTGCGTCATCAACAAAAGGGTTCTGTTGTGACGGCACGCTAATGGCCTCGTGACGGATCTGGTGTCTTTGCTGGTTGTTGATGGCCTGTACCATAGTACTCGGATGTTCGCCATCGCTATCTGAGTCGCTGTCTTCTTCATCAGCGGGGTGTCCAGCTCCTGTTTGATGACGCTGTCGAGTTGTCGTGTGACCATGGACCCCGTAGTACTCGTTAATCACGTCAGGATGCACACCTTCACAGTCATCACGATAGATGCCAAACTGCAAGTGCCCTAAAAAACGTAAATCCTATGTGTCCGTCCAGTAATTTGTCAATGTTACATCAAAAATTCAACTGCGAGTTTACCTTGGGACTCTTATTGTTGGTGTCAGGACCGCGAATGGGATGACAGTTCCATTCTGCCTGAAAATTTAAGCAATCCGAATTGATTTCATCAAGAAATAAACTCTGGAGCAACCAGATGTGATTCGCGGCCTGAGGGTCAAGCCTATGATAATTTTCGAGTCGGGTAAAGAACGCTCTCCATCTCCTAGCGAATTGAGTGCCAACCTCGACCCACAAACGTTCGATTCGAGTATTCCGAGTAGAGCTTAGTACGTTGGGTGTTAGTACTACATAACATAAACCAATGGGATCACAACTCACGATCCCCACATGAAGGAGGCACGCCGTGGTCCGTTCTTCATTATCATGTAAGTTGCTATATCGAGATTCTCTCCGCCCCGATCTCCTCGCACTCGAGAAGGCGTCCCAAAAACTTGCGTCGCCTGCTTAAAAACGTCCAAAACAGTTGTCGAACGATTGTTATTACTTGCTTGCAATCCCGTTATCTTGCAGAAATACAAATGAGAATCGATAAACTGTACAAACGAACATATCAAACCGTTCTGCAGAAACCGTCAATAAAACCGTGAATCACTATCCCCCAGCGAATTAATTTATGGTGCCCATCGATGTGCCACAATGCATTAGGCCGCTTAACATGATACTTACGCCGACGTTTGACCCGTCGGTCGCGCAACACCTGACCTAATCTGTCGACTCTGCAGGAGCGATTCTACCACCCGTCGATGCTGCACTCGCAGTCCATGCCTGCGGAGAAAACCAATGATGTACCTTATACCTGAATCAGTCGATGCTACACTCGCAGTCCATGCCTGCGGAGAAAACCAATGATGCACCTTATACCTGAATCAGGCCGCTTTTTCTTGAACTCGGTGATGAGAAGATCAAGGTCGATGTTAGTAAGGTTCGAGTATTTTCTTTCAACTCCATAGCGCTTCATATAACGTCGTAATGTGTTCCTGTGGACTCCGAGCATTTCAGAAAGCTCAGTAAGTTTGATTTGTCGGGAAGTCGAGACTGCTTCGGTGAGGAATCCAACATCGATCATTTTTTTTGGACGCCCTGGACGCCCTGTGTGCAACAAGGCCACTGGTTCCGGAAACACGACATTTTCATCCATGCTGTTGCACAATCAATGACGCAAAATACATATCAGAGATGGATTACCGATTCTGCATATTGTACTGAAATGACGACAAAAGCACGAAGAGATCTCCCAGCAAATGTGCTGTATGAGAGAGCCAATCTTGCATCTCATGTCCTTGAGGGTCGCGTGCGAGGGCTTCAAGCAATGGGATAGCATCCCCTGATACAGCATCTATATGAAATGTGAGCTGGATTGGGTCGGCATCTTCTTGACTAAGAATACGATGGGCGCGTCGGTAAATATCTGACAAAGTATCGTGGGCAGTGCGAATATTTGCAGACCACGGATTCTGATTTAGCATGCGAGACGGAAATTGGGGCAAAGCAGTTGGTAGTGCAGGCATCACAATAGATTGACTTGAATATGGTGTAGCCACCGTAGCGTTTGATGACCATTGATGACCAAAACGACATAAGCAAAGTGTGCGCGTGAGATGAGGCAAACAACAGTCGCAAACATACGGTTCTAATTATTTCATAGCTGATCTTTGTTCTTGTACATCCTTTCGAATCGTCAATATGTCAAAGGCAACTCGACACCCTATTTACTACTTTCATGCGTCAAGCCATATCTTCCAGGTGTGTTTTACTAATTTATTCTTCATTTTGGACTCACAACTTGAAATATTTTGTGCTGGCAGGTTGAGAACATACTGTACAAGCTCTGCAGTTCAATTTTATCTTCGGCTTCCAACGTCTTTCGTGACATGTTTGCTGCTACACAGAACAGCGGTCAAATAGAGCTGGACGGCATGAGCGATGACAAGCCCATTCACCTCAAAGGAATATCCCGGGACGCCTTTGAGTTGTTTCTCGAGCTTACCTTCGGAAGGTATGTTGATGCCCTTATTCTTCTATGTAGCCACTTGACAATCTGTACTAGGATACGTGCCGGCTCATATACACTCGACGAGCTTACAAAATTCCTCCATTTCTGCGACATGTACCAATGTTGTCATGCACGAGAATTTATTGTTTCCCGTGTGTTTGCGGCACGTTTCCGCTTCCACCCAGCTCAACTAATAAACCTGGCTATCAAATATCACGTCCGTTCACTTTTCCCATTTGCTTTTCAGCAACTCGCAGAAACTCCCATTACCGAGATCACCCATGCACACCGGGAGCTGATGGGCAACGAGGTCTTTCTAAATGTGGTTTATGTTCAAGCTGCCCTTGATCACCATCGTCGAATTGTGGCTGCGGAGGAACCAAGAATATTGATGCACTCGAATGATTGCGATGACCCGGCCGGTTGCAGCGAGGATTGGCACGCTACATGGTGGAATGGTATGGGCCGTTTTCTTCTCGATGGTAGGAACCCTCAACCATATGGCGATGCCGTCAAACGCTTCAAGGATATGTCGTTTGGCCGTGTCAGCGAGGGCTGTAAAGATCTTATGTTCAAAATTCTCGATGAGGGTGCAGCATTCCGTCACGCAGAACACTTTATTACCGAGGCCTGCCAATTTCTGTTAGAGAAACTGGTATTTGAGCCCTAACATCTTGCTAGTAGCTACTATTGTGTACTGGTTTACAAGGACTTTGGCATGGTCTCGTCATATTTGTAGCAGCTTGAAGGACTCAGCGTCAATACATGTACTGTAGAATATATGTCCATCACTCACAATGAACGGAAGCCGGAATAGAGACTCATTCCTAAGCGTGATATAGTGGCTTGGCCTGCTAGCTGTAGAAACAATCAGCTGATACAAAGACAACGCGCAGATTTGATTAAGAAAATTGGGAGTGGGAAACACGCACCGCGCAATTTTTGACGAAAACGCGCACCGCGCAAGGTGCGGAACGCGCAAATAATAAATGTGCAGGTGTTACACCATACGCTGTCAGTAGTATCACCCCGTCTACAATGTTGTCTCAACCACACTTCACTCAGCTCTCCAGTAAGAAGGAAGCGCACAACATGCTGCGCTCGCGGCGAGCGCTTACTCATTCAGTTTGAATCACAGAGATCCTCGAGCAGTTTTTATTTGTACCTTGACAGTACCTGTATTCCGCAAATAGCCCTTTGTGCTCGCATCATAGATTCATAGTATCGGCTCGCTTAAACAGGACAGTATTAGTACACTACCTGTCAGCGCGTGCCCTTGACCATCGGTTTGTCGAAGTTTACATTATGACTACCTTCGATTGAGAGCCACTGACCCCCTGCACATGTTCCTTTCATACGTCCCATTCGAACCGAATTGCCAATGGTAACCTGCGTGCACTATGCTTCTAAATTATAACGGAGAAGCTGCGCTCGAAGCGAGCGGTTGCTTACGCAGACCCTCCAGTCTTATTTGATCACAGTATCTGTATTACAGGGAGGTACATCGCAACGTTGTGTATGCACAATTGTAATGGGCGCCGTTCCTTCCTGTTCCTTCTAATGAGAGGATTTGGACTTGTTTGGTTTTCATATGATACGCTGGGAACGCCAGCACTTGTGAGAGAACCGTTCCGAATGCGAACCAAATGATTGCTCGACGAGAGAACCAGCGACGAGCAGAAAACGCACAGCGATGCGTACAATCAAGCTCGTCGTCATTGGCACTTCAGGCGTAGGCAAGACCTCTCTCCGTGGTCAGGTCAGTTGTCCCGCGTCTCAACCATGGTCTTTCTCATTTAATAACGTATGCAGTACATATCGGGTCGTTTCTCCACTGGCTACCGCGCAACCATAGGCGCAGATTTCATCACGAAATCCCTTCCTGACCCCAAGAACCCAACCGAAATCATTTCCCTTCAAATTTGGGTATGTTTCCTTTCATACCATTCATTCTCGCTTCTTCACGCATGCGATAGGATACTGCGGGTCAAGAGCGCTTCTCCTCTCTCTCATCCGCGTTCTTCCGTGGCGCAGATGCAGTGCTACTCATGTTTGACGTCAGCGCACCTGAAACTATGCACGCGCTGACCAAATGGTGGGCAGAGTTCAAACAGCGAGTTCCTATCAGCGACGAGGAGGTCGATAGCTTCTGCTGCGTCATTGTCGGCAACAAGATGGATCTTATGCAGCCAGGGATTGGGGTCACTGTGGAGGAGGCCCAAAAGTTCGTACAAGAACTTGTGCCCCTCTCAGCACCCGAACCACCACAACCTGCAGAGCGTGTGGCGGAAGAAATCATAGTAGAAGACCCCATTGCAGTGGACGATGAAGGCACCATTGACGAACACGAACCTGATACCGATCCGTCCCTTCTTGCACCTTCTGCCCGAATAGATATCCAGAACCGTCGCAAACTATCAAAGTCGCGCTCCCGTTCAAGCACGCGACCTGCCAGTGCGGCCCTGTACGGCACTTTCCGCTCTGGACTCACTTCCTTTCACACCCCTTCCTCCTCCGTCTCCGACATCTACGCATCCGCACGCTCCTCCCCACTTCCAGGGTCCCTACCGGAGTCTCCACCAACAGTCAGGAGAATGACCAGTCTATCCAGCACGACGACGACATCTTCCTCGTCAGCGGCCACTATTACGCCGAGTCTGTTCATGAAAGAACAACGTGCGGCTAAGCCGCCAACCCCACCACTGCCAGACGTTCCTGATACTCCTGGATTCTGTCTTCTAGAACCGCCAGAGTCAGGTCCGAAGCTTTTCTTTACCTCCGCAAAGACTGGGTCAGGGGTTAGCGAAGCATTCGAGTATATCGCGCTGCGCGTAGTAAAGAAATGGGAGTATGAAGAGGCTGTGGAAGCGAGGACGTTCCACATAAGAGATTCAAGTGATGGTGACACGGTGCGACTGGGGCTAGAGGATGGCGGGAGGAAATGGAACGCGTCAGGAGTTTGCTGTGGGCGATAGTCGAGCATAAGAATCCGCTCGAAGTATTTATTGGTATTTCCTTTATTTCGGTCTTCCATGTTCGTTCACGTTGACCGATACCCATTAGCTTAACCAGATATTTTATCTGGAATTTATTGTGGACTCCTCGGGTTGAGTGATTTGGGAGGGCAGTGTCATGTTTCAGGTTGCAATGGCCGCCTGGTAAAGATATTCTTAGACATGGATTTCATCACTGTACTTTTGCACATTTTGGATGTCTCAGCAGAGCAATTATGTGTGCGGTCGACGTCGTGAGGCTGTCGACACGAAGGGAACATACCTACTCGCCGGATCCTGTGTGCTGGAATGAGTCAAGGCAGTACGACCCCAAGCTTTACCTAGTGTCACTCGGTCTTTTGAGAATACGGTGAACAATCAACATTGGCGCACAGCCAGAAAACTCATGCCTTGTAACACCAGGTAAGGCAATGTGTCGTCAAAGAATCAGACGAACGGAAGAAAAATTAAATGATCTTGAATCAGTTCGTCCACGAGGCATGGCATGGATCATGTATTCTGTGCGTGCGTATAAGATGATGCTGGCAGGCATAGCTAAAAATTCTCGAGTATGTAAAACAATATGCGCGGGCGCCGTGATAAGCCCATTTACGCTCATGCCTCCGCGGTTGGCCTGACACGCTTCTTCGCGACGGTGTTTTCTCTGAATGGACAAGTTCATTGAATCAATATGGATGCAGAAGTGAGCATCGGTATAGAACGCACCTGAATCCGTTCTTGAATCTCCTCGATACGTCCTTGAGGGTGCGCATACGGCCGGTACCGGTGGTCTTTCTGCGCTTGGCTTTCTGGCCCCACTCATACGAGCGCAACTTTGCAGCAGGGTAGCCGCACTGGGCACAGGCTAGTATATGGTAATGACAGGTTATGCAAGGACGATCGTGGTGGCAGGCACAGGGACAAGGTAGAGACAGATAGTCAGATATCGTGACTCGTAATGAGTTGTACAGAGAGACGCACTCTTGTGTTGCCTGTGGAACGCGCGAACGCCACAGCGCCGGCAGAGCGTGTGGGACTTGGTGTGTCTCTTACTGCATAATTCAGATACAACCGCATGAGATATGCGACAGATTTAATGGAAAACACCACGCACCCAAAGGACGAGGTACCTGATCAGCGAAAGCAGGTCCAAGTACAAAACAGAAGTCATCCATCCGTTAATCCAAACCTGAAACGATCGAATCGCAAAACCAACGAACCTTTCGTCTGTGGGGATCAATGAAGTGTCAGCGAACACGAAACAATCAATGTACCGGCGAAGAAATGCGAAACAACGACCACTCAGCAAGCCCCTTCCAAGACTAATGTCATCCACAACAGATTATCTCCATCCACCCAACAACCACTCGTTTTTTCATCCAGGAAGCTTGCATACGTCCACCAAGAGCGATCTGACGTTGAATGGGCAGCGAGACTCACCATCTTGACGTTTTCTTGAGGATTTTGAGGCGGTAGGTATACCGGTGGGCGTTCTGAGGTTGCTTCAGTATGGGAGGCTGGAAGCGTGGGAATAGTAATTGTTCGTGTGAAAACAAACCAAAAGAAGAAACAAAACCCCTACATACGTTGCTCACGAGCTCCGACACGGTGGGCAGCAACAACAGAGCTCAATCCTGGAACACTTCGAAAAACTCATAAGCACTCCCGATTCAGGTGACCTCACAGATGACGTCGAATTTGTCGATACTGTGACTATCGGGTTGATGATATTGACATTCAGCACTACATTTGGAAGTGGACGACATCGATGTAGAATTTCAACGAGTGGGTGAATTCTATCGCACGCGATAAGGGAGCTGATAAGACATAGGCAAATTTTAAGGTGCTTCATGGCCTCTATGGGATGCCGACTGTTCCGATTCGTAATAAAAAAAGAAACGGCTATCTTCCTTCTATTGGTCTGAACTCTGCCTACGGGAGATTAGTAGTAGGTAAAAGCGGGCGAAAGACACGATACAAACTTGACGCATCCGATGGCCAGCTAAGTGGTTGGTGAAGGTTTTTCGGGCTATAGATAACCTGCTCCTAGGAATGACGATTCAGTCTGCCTAGCAGAGACTAGCGTGCTCCGGGTGTGCCTGTATTTCTCAATTCCGAGCACTAGCTGACAATCATTCGTACCCGGGCCGTCAGAATGCCATTCATTTATCAGTTCATTCCTGCCATCGACTGACGAGTTCAGAACGTTCTTTGTGCCAAACAAAGCTTCAGCAGTGAGAGCCGTGAGATGCATTACGAGCGCTATAGTTGGCATTGTGTCTTGAGTCTTGAAATTGCAGTTTTGTCACCAATACTGTTAGGCCCTTTAGGCTTCCTGTAATGCACATCGGCTGTACGGCATGCGCCAACTTTTGTGGTTTAGGAGGCTCCATCGCACCGGGGTAATTGGGTTGCACAGCCTTGCGTGATCTTCTGTAAGGAACTTCGCGAGCTTAAAGGGGCTTGATAGCTGCAATGCTGGAATGAAAATCGGAACTGTCAGCAGATTGGCATTCAGCGACGTATCCTATTCGGTTTCCTATATACCGGGCCAACAAAACTGGAGGCTGTCCGACATCTCCTTATAATCACCCTTAACCCCAACGTCAACTTACTTACGATGACCAAAGAGATCGTGTTCACTGATAACGCCGTCCCTCCCCTCAGCCGTGTATTGTAAGTGTTTCCATTAGTGGGGAGTGGATTGATTATGACGATGTTTCGTTCAGCTCAGGCTGTCATATCTAAGGGCCATGTATATGTCTCGGGCAACATCGGATGCACGACCGATTTCATGATCGTCGAGGGCGGAGTGCAAGGACAAACAGTGCGTAGCTACCCGCCTTAACTCCTATCTCGTGGACTAACTGGTCACACGATCTGTAGTATGCTGCCCTTCAAAACATCGGCAAGGTGCTCGAGGCTGCTGGATCGGGACTCCAACATGTCGTGAAAGCGAATATCTATCTCACGAATATGTCAAGGGATTTTATTGATATGAATACTGTGTACAAGGAGGTACATCCCATACCCCAGTGATTACACCGATTGAAATTCTGACCTCGACATGTAGTTCTTTAACGCAGGTGCGATGCCTGCGAGGACTTGCATTGGTGTCGATTCTCTTCCGTTGGGCGCGTGCGTCGAGATCGAGTGTATGGCAGAAGTTCCAGAAATTTGATATCTCAAGTAGTTATGAATATAATGAGGCAAATTGTACAGTAGTGCGTTCTACTTTTGTGATTCATTGCAAGCCAATTGCAAGTACTATGTAAACTCTGCGCTTCTGTACCAAATATATAGGTCATTACATTAACTGCTCGATCAGTAAAATAACGATACTTAGCCAAATCAACGTCACAATATATAAATATACAATACCATCAAAATCGCAGATCATGTCATCTGCATAAATTTGGCGTTATTCTCATCATCATTGCCACCCTGCATAGCCTGCACGCACGTTAACCTAAAGCCCTGCAGCTACAGCGTAACGCCACGCACCCTGCTTTGCTTTGAGGCCCTGCAATAGTTCGTATAGGTGCTGTCGGATTCGTGGTTGATACATTTCCAGTGCAGCAGGAGAGGCATCTTCGCCCAGACACATCTCAAGCACACCGCGTAGCCGTGCGGGAATTTGATGCAAATCACTGTTTGCTTCAGGTATAGCCTCATTGGTCACTGAGGGGGAAAGACCCACGCAGTATTGACCCCGGATCTCTCGAATGCCCATACCACGGCGTTGAAGCCGACTCCAAATTGCATATAGGCGTCGCTGACTGCATCAGGGGAGGCGCGTGAGGTAGACCATAGAGTGAGCGTAGACTGGAGGTTTTTCATTGCTGCGATGAGCGTGTGTACGGAGTTGGGGACAGTGGCGCTATACTTGGGGTAGGGGATTGACATGTTATTGATGGGAGACGTGGGACCATAAGACAGTACTCACATTGCTGTAATCACTTCCAGATGAGTTTTGCCGTGTAGGTGACGCAAAAGCTCCTGATCCTGCAGGAGAAGTCGGATGATATTGGCGCATGGCGTTCAAGAGACGGTCTAGAGAATTAGGACTCGGGAAAACACAACTTCAAGGCAGTTGAGAAGATACAAGACCAGCTAGTTGGAAACAAGGACAGTGGGAACCAGGAGATACAGCTTGAAGGCCAAGTCAATATAGCACAGGAAATACAATAGGAGCACTAGTTTGAGTGCGGAGGATCCGCGAGTCCGTGACGCTTTTATACCAGGAGAAAGACTGTCAATATACAGCAATATACGGTCATCCGTACGCGAGCTGTGAATTAAATAGGCCAGGCACGTCGTCACCGTGCGCACCCGCGATCAAAGTCAGACGAATCATAATCAATCTTCACGAGATGCTAACTAACACAGCACCATGGTACTGCCATCGTGGCGCTGCATCTATAGTTATGTAATCTGCACCGCTTTGCTTGGGAAGACACAGCGATAAGAAGTTTGAAGCATATCTCATCAGTCGTCAACCATCGTTCTGTCGTCAGGACGTCCGGGAGGTCGGTGTAACAGCATATTTAGGTACAAATTACTGTCCCCAAGCAACCCTCAAGGTAGATTTCTTGGGCGGGTCTACCTGCTGCGGCACCGATTGGCACCGACAACGATATTCACGGCTCACAAGGGCTGGGGCAAGAAATGATCGGAGAAGATGCCCGGCCTGAAAATATATCTGCACTGCGTTCCCACCAAATCATGACCTATGGTCGAACCAACACCTAGTTCGAGGTCCACATCCCGATATTACAGTTTGCGATGGACAGTTTAGTTTGCACCAAGGTGCTCAGCTCAGCTTCATTGATGACATGATCCCTCTGCAAGACTAGTAAAAGTTCTGGAACAATCACGTTTCTGAACATCTTCTTAGGCACTACAGAGCTATTGTGGAAGCAGGGTTAGACGTGAGTGGTCTTTATTTTACCCACCCGAATTCAACACAGAGGGGAATGCGGGTGGTCAGGCAGTGCACGGACCGGGAATGAATTCACTGTCCGGTCAATGATGCCCAACAGTGATGGCGTTGAGTTCAATATGACCCCGCCGCGTTGGTAAGTGGGAAATCCAACGCCTACCGTTGCATAGAACACAGCTCCATGATGCCTTACCTGGGCAAATCAATCATGCAGGGTTCACCTTTATACGAAGGAATGACTGTCTTCCTTTGACTATCTATGTAGGCCAAGTTTAGGGTGAAGTCGCCGCATTTAGTAAAAGCCTCGCTTTTCAACATGTACAAACATACCTGCACATGTCATCACAATGGTCGAACTTTGCAATGGCACTGCCGTTCAACGTTCAACCGTTGAACGTGTGTCTGCTAAAGTGATTCTCCCACAGATGAGTGTCGGTGTGAAGGATGCAACTCTTCACTCTAATGTTCTTCCATGTGTCTTGCTTGATTATGCTCATCTATTCTTCCGTGAACCATGAAGAGAAGAACTCTTTTCAATTCATCCCCAATGCTATGTCTCAAGAATACAGAGGGTGATAAGACTAACCCTGTGAGCGAAACCCTTGATGTTCATTACTCCATCTCTGATATGGTGATTCACATGCTCTCCCATCCGGAATTTCAACCTCATCAATGATGGTGATAAAAAGGCCGAACAAGAATGTTCAACATGCTTCCACCGGGTGCCCGCGTGATGAGTGGTGCAAATACTCAGTGGGCATTTTCGGGTGTAGCTTTTTCAATGGGAATTGATGTCCGCTGCGGAGCACGCATTTGAACACCCTCGGTGTCGCGTCTGGCAAATTATCGCCATCTATTTTTGAACGCAATGCTCATGTCTCTGATTAGCGTCAATCTGACTTAGAGGAAGGCTGCTTTTTCATTGAGTGATCGACTGTGGCACAACGATGATTGTCTCCCCTGGAGCCATAAAATAAAGAAGACAGACCGTTCCTTTGAATAAAGTGATACACAAATCTACCATACAGGGGTCGCTGATGGGCGGCGCCGGGGATCCGAAGCCTGCGCATCCTTAACCGACTCCAATATCTCATTTTTGAACCCTTCCTGCAAACCAATATTAATATTGGTATCAGCCTTCTTGCACATTAAAAGTATACCTTACATTCGTCTTGAACGCCAACTCCAGAGGCTGCACCGCCCTCCACACCCATCTATAGGTATCCATCATCTTCTCCTGCTCAGCAGTTGAACCCATGAGGAACCGTGCAATACGCAATTGAATGTCGCGGTCTGGAATATTGTGGTACTCTTCGATACTCTGCGGGAACTGCGCATCACGTTGTCTTCGAACGTGGGATTCTCGCACTTTCAACATGCAGCGCTGAGTGAGGAGTGGGAGGAGGGATTTGAAGTAGCCGTAGCGGATCTGAGACAAGGCGTCGTCTATATCGTGCTGGAAGCGTTTCATAGGCCGCGCGTCGTTGTACAACTCCTTAGAACATTGTCAGACCCATCAAAAATTGCAGATAAGGAAGACGTACATTGAGAGCAGCGAGATAATCGACCTGGACCAGGTCCTCCGGGTCTACTCCCATCATTGAATCATCGATGCAGTTGTACTTGTCAAGAACTTCTTGGCGGTATTCTGCAGCCTGGAATGCAGTGAGAAGCTCGAGGTCCTCTTGATGCTGTCTTTTCAGGTCCCTAATTTTGTCCTCGACAGTCGCTAGCGTGTCCACTGGTGGTACATTAGGAGTGGCTATAAGTTCCTTCAGCCTGCGAAAGCTCAGCAATTTCCAGTATACGCATGAAAGAAAAAAACTTACGAGCCACCGATATAAGACCCCTTTGACGCAAGGATGTACTGGGCAAAGTGGTGCCGACTAATGGCCAAGTCGTCTGGGTTGGCAGAATCGAGAGGGATGTGTTTCTCGCGAAAACCATTTTTGCCTTTGTTCGTTTCCTTGGGTTGTCGTAGACCGCTTATAGAAGGCATGTTCAACAGGAAACCATAGGCCTGACCTTGGAAAGCCTTGGAAGAATAATAGGAAAGACTTCGAAGTGCACCAGGCAGCCGTGAAGCAACATGTGGACAAAGGCCTACCGAGGCAAATTCTAATTTTTTGCAAGTCCAAGAATCAACACGTTACTTACATATGGCGGAGGACGTCTATGTCAACTACCGGCCGTAGGACAGTTGGCGAAACGTGTTCACGGTATATACTTAAGTACATTAATATTGACAAAGCTCAGATCAAGTGAGCCCCGAAGAATTCCCTTAGCAACACTCTGCATCTCGAAATCTGTTACTGTACAACCTCTGACTTCCTCTTTCAAGAAGTGGGATAAAAAAACCTAATGATAACTGAGCGATGATGAGAACAATTGTCTGGGACGAGTCATTGAGTCACTGCAGATGATATGAAACAATAGCAAATGCGACTTACTAGTAAAGCGAATACAAAGAGCGTAATCAGAATTTTGCATCAGGATTGAAGGGGCAATCGGAGGCATGTGAGCCGCGCCAGCCGCAGTGATGGCATTGGGATGAACTGCAGTTCACGCCAGAGTCGTTATCGGATGAAATATGCATTGATCTGGGTGGCACGGCACGTGTTAATTGCTATGGGAGAACACGCTATGAGGAATATAATGTAAGATATTGGTAAGATGAAACAAACGATGGCACATACCTCAGTACTCAGTGTGGGGAGTCAGCAGCTGAAGTATAAGCATGCGGACGACGCAAGTTTATCAACCAAACGAATCACGTAAACCCCAATCTCGGTTCCAGATTCTAGCGGAGATCGAGTTTGCACAAGGAAAAGTCTAGAATCTGGCACATTTCGTAGAGGGAGGTAGATCGACTCCGGCCCGGAGTATTAGCTACGACTTTGCTACTCGCCTTCGGACGTTGCGGTGAGTTGTACCGTATCGTCTGCGAAAGCAGGCTGCTCCGCAAAGTCAGGCAGCTCGAGGAGACGATGATCCCATGCCAGGTAAGAAAGATCAAACTACTTGAGGCATCGATGCACTAGGAGCAAGGCATAGCGACTAAGTTGAGGGTCGAGCAGAGGCGGGAACTATGGTGCCCTCGACGAAGATCGTGGGACACTGATCACGAAAAAGATGTGCTGCGTATCGTAAATGCGCCGGGAAGATGAATAATTTAGCAGCAGCAGAACTCTACATCGTGATAAAACACTGACCTGTATACCGGGGGCTCCAATGTCCCGAGTCCTGCAAAAGCACATCTAGGCCTGATCAAGAGAATTCCAGGACGCTCAAGATTCCATTCAACACATTCCCAGAGGCTGCAGAAGGCCGTAAATGTCCTTCACGGTTTATTAGAAGAGAACCACCTCAAGCTCGGTCCACTGTTCACAAACACAATGCATGATAAGTTCAGAGGCCCATAGCATGGCGCCACCCCACCTATATAGTTATATGACGCGAGATAATGATGACGTGCTGGAGTAGCACTTAGGCATGAGAAGATCGCGACACTGATGTTGAATCACTGCCGGGAAGTGATGGCTGCACTAAATCGGATTTGGGAGGCAGTGCATCAGGAAAAAGGGCGAGGACCCAAGTTGGACCCAAGTGTAGACGTGCGGGAGGTTAGTTCGTCGAGGAAGACACTCATGATATGAGGTGCAAGCCTCATGGGCGTCTGAATGGGACACGAGGCTGTCTGATGTTGCGAAAAGAGCATTAAAAAAAAGCTGATTTCACGTACTTCTGCAGGCTCCTTCCCCACCAGGCTCCTTCCCACCACTGGTTCGAGTGTGGAGGGGCGGATTGCGAGTAAGGTAGATACAACTCACGTGCTACAACAAAAATTCAAACCCAGCCCAACTTTAATTCCCCTCACACTCTCACCAGCGGCTGGAAGATAACATTTGTCAACATCGTCAGCCACCGTGGCTAACGAAGCGGAATATGAATTTTATTCACTAAGACTGAACGTAGGGTTAGGTACACTGCAATATATGTTAAGTATTTCCTCACCGGTTAGCTTCTGTGCTTACACTATGTCAATGCAGCGTGCAGTAGAACGAAGCAGACCAACATGAGTTGTGTAGCGCTGCGATTATCAGCATTGTAAGTATAATTGTCGGCTCTTGTTGAAGTAATTGAATTAAACACGATCCGCATAACTATTCAGTG